GTGTGTGTGTGTGTGTGTGTGTGTGTGTGTGTGTGTGTGTGTGTGTGAATCTGAGGTGTCCCTGGGTAAGTGAAGACCAATTAGGGATTTAGAGTGAGAAGTCTAATATGGAAACAGCTTGTAGGAGGACCTCTAAGGAATAAAATGGTTGTGTATGTATATAGGGCTTTAGGCCCTTTTTGGGGGTTGGGATATTTGGGGTAGACTCCGTGGCTGGAATAACAATAATGATAGCATATATATATGCATACATATATGTGGGTGTGTATACACCCACAAAGGTTCAAAAGGTTCAAAAAGTGCTTCTGTACATAGTCTCATTCAATCCTTACAACCCTGTGACGCAGATACCACAGGTATCATCATCCATATTTTCTAAAGGAGGTTACTGGGGTTCAGAAAGGTCGGGAAGGCCCATGGTCACAGAGCTAGTCAGCATGAGGTGGGATTCTAGCCCAAGACTCCCCAGGGACCTAGGGTGGGAGAGCTCTGAGGGGAAAAAGGTATGAGAGTGGGGTCTCAGGAGTTGGTCTGGGTATCTCTGAAATATCAGCATTGTGGAGGGGGCACAGAGGGAGTTTTTGAGAGTGCTGAGTTTTGGAGGAGGGAGTCTGAGGGGAACAGCATCTGGGGGGACTCCTAGGATCAGAATAGGGGGGAGTCTGAGGGAAATAGGATATAGGAGACCCTGAGAGGTAGAATGTGGAGAGACTGAGGAGATGGGATATGGGAAGACTGAATAGGATGGGATGTGGGGGGACTCTGCAGGGAACAGAATGTGGGGAACTAAGAGGGCAGGATATTGGAGGATTTGGAGGGATATAGTGTGGGGAGACTCTGGGGAGACAGGATATGGGGGGACTGAGGATAGAGTGCTGAGGACAAAGGGGGCAGGGCATGGGAAGTCTGAATGGAACACTATGATGGGGGGGGACCCTGAGGGGATAAAATAGGAGGGGCTTTGAGGGGAACTGGATGTAATGGGACTCTGCAGGGAACAGAATGTGGGAGGATTTAGAGGGATAGATTGCCGGGAGATAGGATATGGGGGGCTCTGAGGACAGAGTGTGGGGGATAGAGGAGGCAGGATATGGGAAGACTAATGGAATAGGTCCTGGGAGGACTCTCAGGGGACAAGATATGGGGGGCTTCAAGGGGAAGAGAATATGGGGGTACTTAGGTGACAAGATATGGGGGGATTTAAAAGGACAGAGTGCAGTGGACGGGGGCATAGGATATAAGGGGCCTCTGAGGAAAGAGTGTGGGGGACTTTAGGGGGATTGAGAGGGGCAGCGCGGGGAAACTTTGAGGGGACAGGATGTGGGGGGGCCCCTGAGGGCGCTGCACCAAGCGGCGGGCAGGTCGGCCGCTTTCCAGAGGGCCCATCCCACCGCTGGGGTCACTGGGCCCCACAGTCCCGGGCGGTGCACGCCCACAGGCTAGGCCCCAGGCCTGGGGAGCCGCAGGGCCCTCCCTGCCCTCACCGGCGCTCGGCCGGCCCGGCTTCGGTGCCCCCGGAAAAGCCGTCCGGCGCCATTCCGGTGCGCAGCTCCGCCGCCGCCCTGCCGCCGACGTTCCGCTGCCGGGAGGGGAGAGGGCGCCGCCCCGCGGGCTCTGAACGCCGGCTCCACGTGAGTGGCCGCGGGCACACGGGGACATGGGGACGTGGGGACATGGGGACACGGGGCCCTGGGGGCCCCTGGTCCGGGGATCACAGCTCTGGAGCCCGACAGGGCGCGTGTGTAAAAGAGTTGGGGAGCATCGGGGTGGTGTAGGTGGGGGCGTCGGAGGGAGGGGTCGGGGGACCGTGTAATTGAGGGGGGGAGGGCTCGGGGCTGCCAGGCTGGGGATGGGAGGGGGGTCTGTTCAGAGGTCACTGAGCCCCACCCCTTCCTTCTCCCCGAGGGATCTGGTCCGAAGTCCAAATTCCTAGACCCCAGTGACCTCCCACAGGGAGCGTCCAGATTCCAGGCGTGGTCTGGGACAGTCACCATCCCAATGCACCCTTGGTTGGAGCTCCTTCCTTTCTTAAGGTCCAGCTCAAGAGCCACCTCCTCCAAGAAGCCTTCCCTGAACGATTGCTTCCCTCCCCCCTCCCCCATCCCTCCCAAACCCCTTCTACCCCCTACCCCCCAATCCTGAAGTCTTAATTTCCCTCCTGCTTTAATTTCACAGGATACTTTGTTCGGCTCCTCCTATACACTTAACCACATTTTGATTTGTATTTTTATGTATTTGTATTTGAGTCTCTTCCTTCTTGCTAGATTGAAAGCTCCCTGAGAGCAGGAGCTGTGTTATTCATGATATTTCCAGCCTAAAACAGAGCCTTGCCCTAAGTAGGTGTTGTATATATATATCTGTTGAAAAGAAATATGGGGGGTAACACCGAGTATAGAATTGAGGTCCCAGTGTGACTGTAATATTTAGTTTGGCCATAAGGTGTCAGTGCAGTCTTGGGAGGGAAGTAGTTTAGGTCACTGTTGGAGTAAATGTGGGCTCAGAGTCAATGTAAATAGCAACTGTTTCTGTTTTGGCCAGAAACCCTGAGGGTCTTCCTATCCCAGACTGATTTTTTTTTTTTTTGACTAGGTAAAAGAGGTCATTCTTTGCCTCATTTCTTACCTAGCCTTAATCACTGATTGTGCTTGCCTCAGACCAGCAGACCTGGGAAAGACCTTAGCTTCAAGATGTCAAGGTCTCCCACTGCATCAGGGCCACCGGATCCAAATGGCTCTGGAGGAGACAGGGAGGCTGGTGACTTTGTACAGCCCTCCGTCACTTAAATCCTATTCATTTGCAAGTCAGGGCATCTTCACCTTCCCGATGTCATGGTCCTCTTTGAGAACCAAAGACAAAGAGCTGCAACAAGAGCAGCTATTGAAGTTCAGGTATATATCACTAACCGCTTCTGTCCCTGAGTACAGATGCTGTGCAATTCAATTAAATGTACCAATGTGCTGTGGTATTTTTGGACATTTTATTTAGGATTTGCTAACATTAATAGAGATGATTCAGATAGAAGCTGTTGAGACTATATTACTTCAGAATTTCTAGTTATTTCATACAGTTGTAGATTTAGAGGTAGACAAGACCTCAGAGGCCATCCAATCCACTCCCCCCCTCCTTTTTTTTTTTTTTACAGATTGGTAAACTGAGGTTAAGTGACTTGTAGAGTAGTAAGTGATGACCAATATTTGAACCAGATTCTTTGACTCCAGATATAGGACTTTTTCCATTATACTTGGGCTGGCCAGAAATTTGTATTATCCCTATTCGTAAAGAAGAGTGCTTATTGTTAAGCTAATAGTTCTCTTAAGAATGGCTGAATGGTTTAATGGAAAGAGACCTGAATTGGGAGTTAGCGGATTCAGGCCTTAGGCTTGTCTTTTCCACTGCCTTGCTATATAATTTTTGGCAAGTCACTTACCCTCTGTGGGCTTCATTAACACATCTTTAAAAGGATGAAGTTGGATTAGATGGTTTCTATGATCCCATCTAACTCTAGGCTTTCTGATTCTAAAGATCACAGAAAGAATACTTAACAGACTTAAAAAAGCAATTTGTGTGTGTATACTGGAAAGAAAACCTGGACCTGGGAGACAGAAGAATGAGGTTCTAGTGCAGTCCTTAACTGGCAGATTTGAGCATAAATCATTTAACCTTACTGCTTCTCAATAAAAAGGTAATTTCTGAGAGTTCTTCTAATTCTAACCAAATATTTTTAATCATTGCTAAATATAGTGCATGTAAAACAGCTTAAGGGGATGTTTCTTAGTCCTGATTTTTCCTATTGATTTAAAAAAACTTATTTAATATTTTATTTTTCCCAAATAAATGTAAAAACAATTTTAACATTTTTTCCCCAAATTTTGAGTTCCAAATTCCCTCCCTCCCTCTCCTCTCCCCCCACATTGAGAGGGCAAGGAATTTGACATAGATTATGCATGAAAACATGTTTTCATTTTCCTTGTAAGTCATTCTGTAAAAGAAAACACAGACAAAAAACCTTAAAGAAAAATCAAGAAAGTAAAGAAAAAGTATCTATGATCTGCATTCAGGCTATACCAGTTCTTTCTCAGGAAATGGACAACACTTTCATCCTAAGTTCTACAGAACTGTTTTGGATCATTGTATTGCCGAGAATAGCTAAGTTATTCATAGTACATCATCATACAATACTGCGGTTATTGTGTACTATGTTCTCCTGGTTCTGCTCATTTCACTTTGCATCAGTTCATGTAAGGCCTTGTTTTTCTGAGAGTATCCTGTTCATCATTTCTTTTTTTTTATTTTATTTCTTTTTTTTTTTTAGGCAATTGGGGTTAAGTGACTTGCCCAGGGTCACATAGCTAGTAAGTGTCAAGTGTTTGGTCTGAGGCCGGATTTGAACTCAGGTCCTCCTGACTTCAGGGCCAGTGCTCTTTCCACTGCGCCGCCTAGCTTCCCCTTTGCTCATCATTTCTTAAAGCACAAATTAATGAACATCTCTTTAATTTCCAATTCTTTGCCACCAGAAAAGAGCTGCCATAAATATTTTTGTACATATAGGTCCTTTTCCTTTTTGTTTTTTATCTTTTTTGGGAAACAGACCTAGTAGTGATATTGCTCGGTCAAAGAGTATGCGTGGTTTTATAGGCCTTTAGGTGTTTTTTTCTGTTGTCCTACATAATGGTTGAATTGGTTTACAACTTTGTCAACAATGCATTAGTATTTCAGTTTTCCCACATCTCCTCTGACATTTGTCATTTTCCCTTTCTACCCTATTAGCCAATCTAATAGGTGTAAGGTAGTACTTCAATTGTTTTAACTTGCATTTCTGTAATCAGTAGTGATTTAGAGCATTTTCTCATATGGCTATAGATAGCTGCATCTGAAAACTGTTCATATTTTTTGATCATTTATCAATTGAAGAATGACTCTTATTCCCATAAATTTGACTCATTTCTCTATATATTTGAGAGGTGAGGTTTTTATCAGAGAAACTTGCTTCAAAATTTTTTTTCATAGTTATAATTGCTAATTGTATTTCCCTCCATCCTGTTTTCCCCATTTATCCTACTCTCTCTCTCTCCTTTTACCCTGTTCATTCTCAAAAGTGTTTTACTTCTGACTTTTACCTCCCCCAAATTGCCCTCCCTTCTATCAGCTTCCCCTGCTCTCCTTCTCATATCAATACCATATCCTTCCTGCTTTCCTGTGTGGGAAGATAAATTTCTATACCCAACTGAGTGTGTATTTTATTCCCTCTTTGTGCCAGTTCTGATGAGAGTAAGGTTCATGTGCCCCCCTCCCTGCTTCCCCCATTTTCCCCTCCACTGTAAAATCTCTTTCAGGCCTCTTTTATGTTAGATAACTTACTCTATTTTACCTCTTACTTTCCCCTTCTCCCAGCACATTCTTATTTCTCCTTCCTTAATTTTATTTTTTAGGGTAATCATACTATCACATTCAACTCACACCTCTGCTTTCTGTCTGTGTGTACTCCTTCTAACTATCCTAATAATGAGAAAGTTTTTAGGAGTTTTAAATATCATTTTCTCATGTAGGAATATAAACAGTTTAACCTTATTGAATCCCTTATGATTTCTCTTTCCTATTTGCCTTTTTATGTTTCTCTCGAATCTTGTATTTGAAAGTCAGTTTTTCTATTCAGCTCTGGTCTTTTGATCAGGAATGCTTGAAAGTCCTCTGTTTCATTGAATATCCATTTTTGCCCCTGAAGGATTATACTTAGTTTTGCTGGGTAGGTGATTCTTAGTTGTAATCCTAGCTCTTTTGCCCTCCAGAATATCATATTCTAAGCCCTCCAATTCTTTTACGTAGAAGCTGCTAAATCTTGTTATCCTGACTGTGGTTCCACAATATTTGAGTATTATTGATCTTGAAGGTCTGGAATTTGGCTATAATATTCCTGGGAGTTTTCATTTTGAGATCTCTTTCAGGAGGTGATCAGTAGATTTTTTTAATTTCTATTTTGCCCTCTGGTTTTAGAATATCGGGGCAGTTTTCCTTTATAATTTCTTGAAAGATGATGTCTAAGGCCCTTTTTTTGGTTTGTTTTTTGTTTGTTTGTTTATTTCTTTTTTTGGTGAGGCAACTGGGGTTAAATGACTTGCCCAGAGTCACACAGCTAGTGAGTATTATGTGTCTAAGGCCAGATTTGAATTCAGGTTCTCCTGATCTGTGGGGCTGGTGCTTTATGCACTGTGCCACCTAGGTGAACCTAAGGTTCTTTTTTTGATCATGGCTTTCAGGTAGTCCCATAATTCTTAAATTATCTCTCCTGGATCTGTTTTCTGGGTCAGTTGATTTTCCAGTGAGATATTTCACATTTTCTTCTATTTTTTCAATCTTTTGGTTTTGTTTTATTGTTTTAAGGTGTCTCATAAAGTCATTAGCTTCTACTCACCCAATTCTAACTTTTAAGGAATTATTTTATTCAGTGAGCTTTTGTACCTCCTTTTCCATTTGGCCAGTTCTACTTTTTAAGGTGTTCTTCTGTTCAGTGAATTTTTGTATATCTTTTTCCGTTTGGCCAATTCTGCTTTTCACAGTGTTATTTTCTTCAGTATTTTTTTTTTTGTGCCTCTTTTACTAAAATGTTGACTCTTTTTTTCATGATTTTCTTGTA